GAAGATTTTGTTCGATAAGCGGTCGATACCCCGGATAGCGCCGAAGTCGCGTGAGGTAGGTCGCGCGGGCCAATCAGGCCGCAGGATTACGCCGCGGCTCACAAGCTCGCTCTAGGCGGCAGGACCAACGGGCCGCGAAATTTGAACGTTCGCAGGATCTATTAGTTCGCTATTATACAGCAGCGCAAACAAAAGAAAAGTGCAGCAGGACGGGACGGCGTCTCGTGCATGCAACAACGCAATAAGCAGCCCTCGAAGACAAGTAATGCAGTCGCAGGATCGCGGCTGCGCTGGTTCCGTTGGTGGATAGCGATTTGGCGGTTCGTTCCGCCGTTCCTCTCCGTCCACTCTCTCCGTTCATTGACCGACGCCGCGCTGACCATCCGCGTGGTTCTCCCTACAAGGCCCTCTGCATGCTATGCTAGGCACTCACTTTCGGCGACTTCGATGTTACCGTTCCTCTCTCTCCCTTTCTCTCTCTTTCTCTTACTCGTCATCCGGTGGTGTCGTTGGAAGTCCCTCGATGATACTCGGAACGGTGAAACGCCAAAGTTACATATAAAGTGTGACGTGGTAATCACATCGCTCCTCCTTCGCCACAAAAGCTCGAATGATCGCGGGAGTCCGGGAGTGCGAGCCGTCTAAGAAGCGCAAAGATCCTCCAGGGCTTGCTTGCGTGCGCTAGATTTAGTCGCTTATTTTGTTTTTTTTTTTTTTTGAATGCTCTTAGCGCCTTACCACACCGAGAACATACTACTGGAGGATTTATCCGGAGCCGTCGATTGTTGGATGAAGGCGAGAGAAAGCGGGAGAGAGGGGCGTGCGTGTAGTCGCAGTTAGGCACTCGCACGACGGCCAGAGGGGTGAGTCTCAAAGAACAAGCGACGCAGGAGAGGACTGCAACGAATACAGCGAACCTCGACGCTGTTTAGTCGAGGAAGAAATACGAACAACGATGGAGACAGCTTTGACGTTTCTTTCGTCGCCGGAAAGGCCTGCTGCAAACCTTCGCTGCTAACTTGCAACTGCTATTTTGCTGCGCTACCGCATGCTGCATCTTTGTTATATCTGCGAAATCCAACGCTTGGAAATATCTGCTGCTTGCATTTTCGCTAGCGAGGGCCCAGTAATCTATTTGAATTTCGCGGCCGCGGGTTCTGCCGCCGAGCGCAAGCATCGCGTTGCGTGTAGCGCCCCCCGCGACTTGATTGGCCGCAATCGATCGCGATCCTCGTCTTCTTGGTCGCAACCACCGTGGACGACAGACGCACTGACGGCACTCCTGACGATCCAGCGTTCAACGACAAACTTAGCGAATTTTTTGGATGGAGAGCGACGACGACGTACGGTGAGGTGCCCTCGTTTAATTGTGAGCCACGAATCCACGTTACTCGAGTCTCGTGTCGATGCTAGTTGCTGAATCTCGTGTGTTGATACCGGCAAGGACATAACCTTTGCCATAATTTCGAATTTTCGGCAGCGGCTAGAATCGGACTCCACGGGGCTTCGTGGTATTAGATCGTAGGTCTAAGTGCGTCTCGCGTAATTACTTTATTTATTGAGTATTACAAGCCCTGGTAACGCGCCAAGCAGCATCCTGGTCATTTTGTTGTGTTTCACATGTAAAAGTGTTTGTCTATCGTATCGTTTCGCGACCGCCATATTCTCATATCGGGTATCGTACCGAATATCGTACCGCATACCGTACCGATTATCGTACCGAATATCGTACCGAACATCGTACTGATTATTGTACCGATTATCGTACCGAGTATCGTACCGTTACCTGGCAATCTAGCGGATCTATCGTTTGTTTATTTAAGTAAGTCGCTAATTGCGACATTCCACGCTACTTTACCGTACCGCTATCACATTGTATGAAGCATGTTGGTGTGGATTTTCCGAGTAATCTGCCTCGAGTGAAGGCGGTGCGATTCGGAAGAGTAACAAGAAAGAATATTCGCGCCCGTCTTGTGTGCGTGTGAGTTATCTTCGAGCAAACTTCTTGCGACGGGCATCGTTCAGCTAGTCGCGAGCGTACCTTGAATACGCCGTTGCGTTTGCTAGCGTATGCTCGGCCCTTGGAATTCGCCAGGGATTTATTGTACCGTCTCGATCCCGGCCGCCATAAACGGCGAGCCGATTATCATACCGAAAAGTAGAAAAATACCGCTGTCGTACTGAAGGAAAATATCGTACTGAATCTGAGAATCTATCGGATCGGAGAGTGCTTAGCTCTCGTTCCGTGTGGCGAATTCCACGGCGGACCCGCCGTTTTAAACAGGCGAATTTTGCAGTTATTTTTGGTGCTAAATTGAACTAGCTCTTCCGATTTCGCAAGCGCTTCACTTCGGTGTGCTAATTGGCACAGGCTTGCTGCATTATAACTGTCTGCTGAATTACATCGAGACCAGTGACGGAAATTCGGCGAGAGCTTCGCGCCGTGCATGCACGCGGCGTAAGCCCGACCAGCCCCTGCGAAATCAAGTAAGTCCGACGGCGTAGATATTACGCCTTGCGACCCACCTTTGCACGCCTAGTTGTAAGCGCACGATTTTGATAGAGTAACCGTTCTGGCTGATTTCATCCTCCTGAATGCTTGCATAACACGCTTGGTACTTGGTCTATTCTGCCACCCGAGAGTATTTAGTTGAAGTTAAGCTAGAGGGACGACGCTAGAGTTTCTGGCCTTACGAATTCTATATCGAATCGGTTCCGCGATTAATTGCATTTCTGCGAAGCAAATACCGTTATTATTTGTAGTATTAACTTCTTTTTATTATTTTTTCCTTTCTTTCTTTATTTGTTATTTACTTGCGTGTGAACGCCGCATGGCTATGTAAAAATTGCTAACTCTATTTTTGTATTCTTTTTTTTCTTTTGTAAACGTGTCTCTTACTCCGCGGTATTATAATAAATTGTTAATTAATGTTCTGATCCAAAGTGTGGTTAATTCCGGATGTAATTCGAGATTCGTTCGGGACAGCCTTGGTTATCTATCTACAAACTCAACCTCTCTCCGTTTAAATAGAGCTAGTCGGCCCGTTGTGTCGAGCGACGCCGATTTTGACGCGGTCACGCGTCTGGCGCCCAGAATTTTTACAAAGGATCCGTCGGCTCGGCACAGTGGTATGCTCGTTTTACAACTCTTTTCTTTCCTACCGATACAGACGTTTCCGATCTCGCGGACTTCCGTCCGTGACCCGATTTCATACTTCCGTTTCGGGCGGTGCGACGCGAGAAACTTGTAAGAACTCAGAAAAACGTCACAAAAGAAAATTATAAAAAAAGAAAAGCCTATTCTATTATTGCATGCAAGCACTGGAGGATCTTGGCGCTCTTTTTCCAGCTCGCTTTCCTGGGCTTTCGCGAAAATCTCTAACTTTTGTGACGGGGAAAGAGCGGCGCGAATACCACATCACAATATACAGGGTGTCCCAGAATTGCCGTACAATCTCTCGTAGGCAGGTAGAAGGAATAAAACTGAGTCGAAAAGTCTTGAACCATTTTTTTCTATTATTTATAATAAAGGAGTAATTATTGAGTAAATCAGGCCAATCAGCGCCGATCTTTAGCCAGGCGCACGTCAGTGAGCCACGCGCCTGATGTGTGTGAGCACTCCGCGTAGTAAAAATCCCAGGGGTCGTCTAACACCTTGTTCACACTGCTCGAGTACCGCCCCTATCGACACGTCCGATGCGTCTGTACTTAACATCAACGGTACTCCTTCCATTGGGTGCACCAACAATGTTGCGTTAGCCAATTATTCCTTGCAGTCATTGAACGCTTGTTCTGTGAGGCTGTTCCATTCAACTGGACGCTTATCTTTCTTCTTAGCACCTGCAGTAATTGCGTGCAGTGGGGCCTGCACTTCCGCGGCTTTCGGCACGAAACGTCTGTAGAAGTTCACCATCCTTAGAAATCTTCGCAGTTGTTCCATAGTTTCCGGCTTCTTATACTCTAATATTGTCTGGACTCTGCCTTTGATAGGTTTTGTCCCTTCCTTGGACACTGAGTATCCTAGATAATGCACCTCCGATGCTCCAAAGTTACACTTATCCACGTTGATGGTAATACCGTATTCCTTCAATCTACTGAATACTTCTCGCAGATGTTTTTCATGTTCCTCTTCTGACCTCGACGCCACCAGTATATCATCGATGTAGCAGTAGCAATTATCGAGACCTCTCAAAACTGCATCCATAAACCGCTGAAATGTTTGTGCAGCATTCTTAAGAGGATGCTGAACCGCTGGCAAAAGTTCGCTCAGCTGCTACTCAACCGCTATGCTATCGGGTAGGTGGCGCCATCTCTCGGGACCGAATCAAACCAAAACAAGGATAGATGACATGAGAGAGCCAAGGATAGACATATGTTTCTCTCTGACGCTTCTGCTAAAATTGTACTAATCGTATTTCCAAGTTTTCTTGTCTCACAAGGCTTCAAAATCTTTTTTGAAGCACTCAAAATATTTGTCTATGTTTCTAGTTTGGGATAAAGGTATTTTTATTTGGATTTATATGGCCAATTTTGCATATAAAGTAAAAGTGTAGTTTCTGTAATAACAGTTTAAAAACTTTTTTTTGTTTTTCTTAAATTTTTAGGCTTTATCCCATTCTTTACTATATTTTCTTTATTTCTAGAGAAGCATTTTTTATTCTGATTCATAGTTTTCACAAAAAGTTGGAAATACGAAATGATGGTAAAACAGGACGGTTCAGCATCCTCTTAAGTCCGAACGGCATCACTTTGAACTCGTACAATCCGAAGGGAGTAATTATCGCCGTCTTCTCTACATCTTGCTCTGCCATCGGAATTTGATGATATGCTCTCCTTAGGTCTATAGTGCTGAATATCTTGCATCCATGCAATCTGTGAGCAAAATCTTGTATATGAGGTATAGGGTACTTATCTGGTATGGTGGCTTGGTTCAACTTCCTAAAGTCTCCGCAGATTCGCCAACCTCCAGCTTTCTTAGGTTGTAGATGCATGGGACTAGCTCATTGGCCGCTCCCTGGTTTGCATACTCCATCTGCCACCCATTGTTGAATTTCTGATTTCGCGAAGCGTTGCCTTTCCGGTGTCAACCTTCGCACTTTATCCGCAAATGGAGGTCTTTTGGTGACTATATGGTGTCTGACTTCGTGTTTGACCGATTTCTTCCCTCCAGGACGAGTTATCTCAATGAAATCCTTGAGAAGATAGTGCGTTGACGTATCTCGTTTAAGTGTGGATACTGAATGCACAGTCGCGTCGGTCAACCGAGCTTGAGCCTTCAACCCGGTAATTCCATCGATCAGCCTTTTACTCCTCATATCTACCAACAGATTATAACGACTCAAGAAATCTGCGCCTAAAATGGGTTGCGATACGTCTGCCACTATGAATGGCCAGACATAGGATCGTCTCAGTCCCAAGTTGAGATCCATCCTCCTTTCGCCATATGTTCTAATAGGAGTTCCGTTTGCTGCGTATAATTTGAGACTTGCGGGCCTAACCTGCCGTCCGGTCCAACCTCTCGGCAACACTGACAGCTCTAACCCTGTATCTACTAAGAACTTGGCTCCTGTTCTTCTATCCATGATGATGAGGCGCTGATTTCCATCTCCGTACGCGGTCGCCTCTATGCGCGTCGGCTGATTTAGTTTTCCTGCGTCTTCTTATCCCAGGCACACGGTTGACGGCACTTGAACGATTTGTTTCCAAATTTATTGTGATAGTAGCAGTAGTTGTTGTTATCTGTTCGATTGCTGACTACACTCTCTCGCTCTCTAGACTTAGATTTGTGTTGAAAATGTCTGCTTCTACTTCTCTGTCTCGTCCTGTCTCTACTAACCTCAACTGACAGCTTGTGCACCATCTTGGTCAGTTCTTGTAATTGTGTTTCTACTGACCTGTCTACACTGTTAATCTTCGGTGTCTCCTTATGCATTTCTGCTATTTGTGGCTTCATGATATCGATTATTCTGTCAGCTTGAATCGCCAATTGATTTAAGTCGTTTACTTGGCTTATCGATAGGATTCCTCTCGCGCTCTCCGGCAGTTGTTCCAAAAACAGGCTGCGCACCACGTTGTCTGTACATTGTCCTCCAGCTAAGTTGCGTAGATGCTGAAGAAGATGTGAAGGTTTTTTATCGTTCATCTCTTGACCTCTGAGTAATTTTCTTAATTTAGATTCTTGTGACTCATCGAACGATTCTATAATTCTCTTTTTAAGAGCTTCATATTTGCCTTGCGCTGGCGGATTGCTCATGATATCTGTAATGAATAGAATTATTGACGGATCCAGGTTAGTCAGTACGTACCGGTATTTGGTGTCATCTCCGGTGATTTTATTTAATGCGAATGCGGCCTCCGCAATCTGGAACCAGTGTGCGGGCATTTCCCGCCAAAATGGCTGAGGTAACTTAACCAACTTGGTGGCATTGATCTCCGGCGAACTCACGTTCCTTGTTCCACCAGCTCCTTCGCTGTTTATTCCTTCAACTCCTTCATCGCTCATGCTTTGTTGTAACGGCGCCAAATAACCCTGAGGCGGGCTACGTGGTAACGACATGTCTCTTTTTTTTTTTTTTTGTTCTTTCACAGGGGTCACCAATTATGTAGCGTTTTTTTTTAGTCAGCTTTAGAACTTTACAAGAGTGTCTTATTTATTGCTTTCTTTAGCTTTATTATTCACAAAGCAGGCAGGATTATATTCTTACACCGTTGTTTAGTCGACTTAATATTTATTATCACAATATATTATATAAACTTACAAAAACTAATAAATAAAATGAGCGTAATGATAACTACTACATTTTACAGAATCGTGAGAGAGAATGTAACGGTTTCTTCTCTTCTCGAACCTTCTATCCTTCAAAAAAGGTGGATTCTCAAAGTTGCTCTTCCGCGACGGTAGCTCCGCAGTGGTTTCTCCCTAGGCGCCTGCAATTCGCCGAACTAGACAAGCTGATCGCTACACGTGTAGTTGCTAAATATTTCTGCAATGTTACTGCAAGCTTACGCCAACGTTGAAATGTCCGCCTTCAAAAATATTACAATTTAAGATTACAGCAATGTTACAGTACAATGTATTTGTAATATTGAAACGCAATGTATTTGTAATATTGAAGTGCATTGCACAAATATGCAAAATGCTTCAAATTTAATAGGTAATCTGTGACAATATATAAAGACATCTAAGAGGGATGAGAACAAATTCTTTGCAAAATTGTGTAAGTTCATAATCTTTTTGCATTCGAAACTCACAATCAGATATCCAAATGTAAAAAGAGTGTTAATTTACGCAAGTGTAAAAGTTTGTTTTTTCATGTCTTGGATGTCTTTATATATTATCGAAGTTTCTTTAGTAACAATTAAAACTGAGATTCATCTCGGACTCTGAAGTCTTTAAACTAATAAATGAATATAATTGGTCGTTTAAGAGCCGTTCGCTGGATGTTATGCGGGAAATATGTCTATATATATATGTGCGTTTGTACACACATATATTTATTTATTAAAATTTGAAGTATTTTGCATAGTACAACCTTATAAAAATTATTAAACACTTTTCTTTTGTTTAATTAATATTGTTGTTTTATTTTATTATTGTTACGTCCTGGCCCCTGGAAACGGTCGGGCATGAGCGGAGCGTAACACTAGTCGAATTTTTCTTTATCTCTCGACACACACACTTGGAGAAACGGTCGTGTGTGCGTGCGAGAGTCGAGCGATCTTTCGGGTCCGGCGGACGGGTCAACGGTCGTGTGCCGCTCTTACTCCGTCGCTCT